ACCCCTAATAAAATGATAGACCACTTCAAGCTTTTACTTGTTGTTAAACAAATGTTTAAACAACTCTATTCAATTATGTACTACAGCTGCCCAGTGTCGACTAACAATACAAAGAATTAAGTTGTGGCAGAATGCTACAAGTTCTTCAAATACCTATTGAATGATAGGTTTCTTTTTTGTGAGCGTCAAACACTTAAATACACCATTTCGAATTTGATACATGTCGTAACTCTGTTGGTATAATGACTATAATCATATGAATTATCTACTTCAAACACTATTTTGTTTACTTGCTACTGATGTTTTTGCCATATGTGACATATATTTGCTGTTTGTATAAACAAGAGCTAATTTTTCTAAGATATTAATATTTTTTTATTGATCCAAAATGTAAAGCACAAAAAGTAATAAAAACAAACATTATCTTTAGAGAATACTGTGTCACATAATAGTTAATAAAGAAATGAAGATATTTAAATGTAAAGATAAAAATACAGTTAAAGTGGATCTAATCTGTTTGAAGATGTAAGAATTCTCAAATTATGTAAACATTTTTTAAAGCCAACATAACTATATAATATTTATTGCTCAAAAGTTAGTTTAAGATTTACCAAGAAAATGGTATATAGTACATGTAACAACAAATTTACTGAAGAGTGCCTCAAACTTAATTTTTGTTTATACGGTTGCATGGTTGTTTTATCACACTGATGTTTCAAATTTGCTATATTTAATGGTCTAAACACTTGAAATATTGAAGACTTGTCTCAAATGGCTCTCAGATAGGTAAATGGCATTTTGCTAGTTATTTTTATAAGTGTGTTTACATAGTAAATACTGAAAAGTATCTTGACTTCAAACCTTTTGAGCATTTGAAAGAAGATGTGATATTAGTAAATATTTGTTTAGATTTAAATATAAACTAATAAATTTTAAGCTTTTTAATATATTTGTATATGGAGAGTTTTCTGTATAACAATCTCTTTTGGTTTAATAAGTTTTATGCTCATAAAAAATGTTTTCCATTTTATCATTCCTACTCTTTTAGGCAGTAACCAATGAAGATGTAACACAAGAAGAACTTGGTGGTGCAAAGACCCACACAACAACATCAGGTTAGAATACACTTTATTTATTAAAAGTGTGTCCTAAAGAACAGTCATCTTGGTAGAATATTGTAAGATGCATCAATTATTTTTACAATTGTACAATATTCAAATCTTGTAGTTTTTTTTTTATTTGTCTATTAAAATTCTTTTTAATTTTCACTGGGGTGTGACATCCATAGCTAAGCATAAATTTCACTCATGCTTAACTATGATGTCTTTAAACCATAATTTGTAATTAAAGATTGTGTTCAAGTGTATTGCATGTAAAGCTCAGTTATATATGCATTGCTATTTTTATTTTCGATTAGGAATATTGTATTCATGTGGAGGGCACAAGTGTTCATTCTACAACAACAAAAGAACAGTTGATGTGCTAAAAACGGAACACCTTTGTTACATCAAAAATTGATATTCAAAATAGGGCAACTGTAAATTGTAAATACCATAATAACAAAAGTACACTGTTAGTTTTCAGTTTTTGGTGACACCGTTTATTTCTTAAGAGAGAAAGATGATAAATCTAGTATGATACAATTGACTTTCAAAGCTCTCTTCACTAAACTGTTTATGTAACAAATTGTTTGTATGTCTATGAGTGTATGGCATATCTAATATATACTTCACTCAAAAAATATTTAAAAAAAATACCATCAAATTGCAGTTAATTTCCATAATTACATAGAAAATTTTAATGAGTGATTTTATCCAATTTCTTCCCCCCATGAACATTGTAACAGGTAAAAACAAAATTATACTCAGTATCATGCAATATGTTGATCCAATCAGTGGTGAACAGTATAAAGTAAAAGTCAACAAGTTGAAGATGAACACAACATTAGACTTCAAACATGACACATTAACATTCTTTTACCATACATCAAAGAATATTTTGAGTATATCCTCAGAGTAGTCTGACTGTTCTAGTGATTTTTGTTTTCTTTGTAGGAGTTGCTCACAAAGCTTTTGAAAATGATGTTCAAGCACTACTACAATTAAGGAAATTTTACAACTTTTTGCCATTAAGCAACACAGATCCAGCTCCTGTTAGAGAGTGTGATGATCCTTGGTAAGCTTCTGTAACTAGTAAGACATTTGCTTAAATACAATGTATGATTTCTAGTAAATGTCAATGCTTTTTGCATATAATAAGCAAGTTTAGAATAATCTGTTTAGTGATGTACTAAAGTATCCGATGGAATTAAAAACATTAGCTTCAGTAATTATATTGGGAAATTCAAATCAATTTTGTTTCTTGGTAAATTTCTTTAAACGTTGATGTTCCAATTCTGTGTGCCAATAATTTTTAGTTTTAAATGTTTTGTATCAGGTAAATTCTTTGCATGATTAGACAGAATAAAACAAATTTTATTATCATTATTGATCCTGTGGCAGGTAATCAGTCTTCATTTCTAACTGCTTTGGTATATAAGACCTGGGGGATATAGCTCTTCCATTTACTAGGTCTGTCTAATTTGGTTTCTAACCCTGAATAATTTTATTGTATTAACACTTCTGTTTGTTGGAACTCAGGTGTGGATCTCTGGCAATTTCTTACCATGCACTTAAAAAGTATTTATTGAGATATTTCTTTATATCTCACCTTTCATCTTCTGTGCTTCATTTTATCCATTTTCACATGCTTATTTTATTCAGATGATCAGTTGTTAGTCTTTAATGATTTAATTTGCATCTATGTAAAATATTAGTATCTGATGGTGCAAAATGTTAACTTTTATATTGATATGAAATGGTCTTGAGATCATGTTAAATATAACAATTCCTAAGTGTGCAAAAAAAAAAGTAAGATGATTATGCTTTTTCTTCAGTTTTTACTAACGAAAATTTATCCAGTATTCCACATCTTGAACAGATAATAAATGAAAACAAGATGACTGCATTAATTCTGAGCTGGTTAAGAAAAAATTAGTTTAAAAAATGATAAGGCTCCTGGTCTAGATATTTCCCCAAGATTGGATGTGTGAGCCACGTACTACTATTTTTTGTCACTCCACGAATAGTGGGCAGATACCAGATAGTTGGAAGTTAGCTAATGTAACTCCTCTTTTCAAGAGATGTGATAAAAAAAATTGTCCCAGTAATAACAGATCCAGTAGTCTGACACCAGTTGTGGGAAAAGTTTTGGAAAGTCTGTTAAAAGTCATTTAACAATATGTAGAATTGTATCGGGTAGTCAGCATGGTTTCACTAAGGGAAAATCTTGCCTTACAAATCTTTTAACATTCTATGAAAAGGTTACTGCTTATGTAGATGAGAGTAAGGGTGTAGATTTGGTGTATCTGGATTTTCAAAAAGCATTTGACAAGGTGCCATGTAAAAGGCTTGTTAAAAAATTAGCTCTATAGGGGTGGGGGATAAGTTAGCAAATTGGATAAAAGGGTGGCTGGATGGAAGAAAGCAGAGGGTTGTTACAAATGGAGTTCAGTCAAACTGGATTACTGTCACAAGTGGGGTACCTCAGGGCTCAAGTCTTAGGACCTTTGCTGTTTTTGATTTACATCAATGACATAGATTAAGGAATAGTCAATAAATTACTTAAATTTGCAGATGATATTAAGGTCTTGGGTGTTGCTAGCTGTGAAGAGGATGCTGCTGATTTATAAAAGGATTTAAATCATTTAGTGAGTTGGACAAATAAATGGGTTTTAATTATAATAAAT